TTGTGCATTTTTCCATCTCACTTGCAATCTCCTTGGGTTTCCCATCACCAAATCACCCATGTGCCATCACCATAGTCCAGTGCATTTCCCTCCCCCACCTGTTTTTTATTCCATTCCCCACTCCACCCCCACAAAATGTCTCGGTATATAGCCGTTCATCATTATCATTATTTTCTTGTCTGTTCTGTTATATTCCTGCTATGAGAGAAACCATTTGGTATTTTTCCTTTTCTTTCTGGCTTCTTTCACTAAGCATGATCTTTTCCAGCTCCTTCCATGTTGCTGCAAACAGGTTGCTGAGTAATATTCCACTGTGTATATGTACCACATCTTTTTAATCCAGTCATCCATTTTTGGGCATTTGAGCTGTTTCCATGTCTTTCCAATTGTGAATAAAGCAGCAATAAACATGGGGGTGCAGGTATCTTTTTAAATTAGTGTTTTTGTGTCTTTTGGGTAGATACCTAGGAGTGGGATTGCTGGGTTGTAGGGAAGCTCCATGTTTAGCAGTTTGAGGAATGAGGCCCTCATTTTTATCCCAGGAGATGAAACAAAATCACTGGTGACAAGAATGGATCCAAAAGACTGAGCCAACTTTGGAAAACACTTCAGCGCTGTTTTATGAGGCTATGTTGATGCTGGGAATCACTCTGAAGGAAGATGACAGAAATAGCTCTTGTCTTTGCTTTAACCTGCCAAAGCAGACAGTCTTCAAATTGTGGGCACCGTGTAGTCAGGGATCCTGGCACACACATGGCACTTGTGGAAACAACTGTTTGAAGACCTTTCCTGCCAAGGAAAGATACCAGAGGAGAGAGAGGACTTCACAGCTACAAGGAAGGGAACGGTATGCTAAGGGGAACCCAGGGAGTAGCCATTACTTTCAGGGTATGCTCAAGGGCAAAGTCAGCAAAATATGCATGAGTGGTAAGGGAAGGGGGCTGAAAATACCAGTCACCTCTTCTGTGTTTTTCTCATCTGCTTTCCCAGAACCAGCCCTGGCCCTCATCCTGTCTCTTGAAGGCCTCCCTGTGAGCTAAAAATCCAAAAGGAGAGTTGCTGGAAAACAGACTGTAAGCTTGAGCTGCTGGCAGACATGAGACAGGAAGAGCCTGCCTCCAGTGGCATCAGCTCAGAGCTAAAACACAGTGATAATGTCTTTTAAGTCCTTGTATCCAGCTATCCTTAAAACGCTGCACTTCCTAGGTATGGGGACCAAAAAAGTTTGCATTTAGAAATTTTCAAAGGGGTTTCTGTCACTTATAATAATAATACCACGAATAAATCCTAACTGAACCAGCATTAGTACATCTAGTACAATTTTCAAGAATAGATTCCCTACAAAAGCCAGCACAGGATACAGAGCCACCTGACGTGGAAAATTAGGAGCCCAGAGCACCAGAGGGAGGAAGAGAGCTGGACAGCCCCTGTCTCAGGAAGTCTGAGCTCCAGGGAGGGTGTAAGATCTCAGGTTTGATCACACTGTCTGGTGTTCTGTAGGGAGACTTACAGGAAGAACAGAAGCTTTCCTGAGGCTGTTCCAAGTAATGGTGGTAGCTATCTTCTGCTGAGCCCTTGCTATTTGCCACAAGGTGCTATATATATATTATTTACATCATTCTCACAGCAGCCCTGAGAATTAGATATGCTACTGGCATCTTTTTCTAGATGAGGAGCTGAAACTCAAGAGTGGTGAATTAACTTACTAGTTACATAGCTAGGAGAGCGAGGGTTCAAATCTAGTATATTGGACCCTTAAGCTTATGCTTTTAACAACTGTATTATACTCCTTCCAAGATGGGTCAATGGGTGAGGGAGGTTATCTATACCTTGCCTAGTATATGTCCATTCTAGTTATATACATGATTAATGATCTAATCCCTCAAGCCCAATTTCTTATGTAAACTCATTGCATCCATTTTATGGATATTCAAACCAGGGCTTAGACATAGGAAAGGACTTGCTCATAGTCACTTGGGCAAACAGGATAAATTGCCAGAAGTGATATTTCTGAAATTGAGCAGCCAGTCCATCATCTGTAGAAACTCATAGTGTGAGAGCAAGAGGTAGACTCTGGCCTCACATTGACCCATATTTAAGGACAGGGATGTTATCAGTCTGGCTAAAGATCTCTAAAAGATGAGTGGGCCAATCAGTGTTGTGGCCACAAATGTAACTGCAGAACAGAAATCTCACTACAGCCAAGACTTTTGCATCTACAAAAAGATTCCCAGTTCCAGTGAAGGCCCTATTTATTTTCAGCAACACTTGATATGAACAAATTCCAATTCAAGCGAGGAGACTCAACTTCCTGCTGCTCCCAGGAGAAATGTGGCTATGAAAGGAGACCCTTTCTTCCACTGGGCCATCCACAGCCAAAAAAAAAAAAAAAAAGGCTGCAAGGCTGAGCTGAAGTACCCATAGTGGGAAATTGGAATCTGCCTGCCTGATTCCAGGAAAGTAGTTGTCCCAGCCCAAGCCCGGGGGCCCTCAATGTTGGGCCTCTCCTAATGCTTTGCTGAGCTTAGAGGTACCTGTCCTGGACAGATAAGGCAAAGGTATCTTTTACCATTTCCTGGGCAACTCCTGCCTGAAGGAGTGAACAGGCAGGGATCCAAGTGCCAGGACAGAAGGAGCCAGGCCAGCCACTGTTGTTCACTGCTGGAAGTATGCCAGGGGACAGGAGGATGAGCTGCAATTCCAGTCTCAGATCACCCTATATTTGATAGGGAGTGGAGAAGGTCTAATCCTAGACCTCCCTTAAAGCCAGATGAGCTTCCTTCTAGCTTCTAGATTTATTTTCCCACAAGTAGCTTATGAGCTCTGATTCTAGGGGAAATGTGTGAAGTCAGGAACAGAAGGACAGAAGTAGGTTCATGAGGTCTATCACAGCTCTTCCAAACCTGGAAAGTCTAGCATACCTTGGTCTGGGGGCAGAGTCTTGGTTTAAAAATCCCAGCTCTCCCACTTGCTTTCCTTGGGCAAGATCTTAACTTCTCGCCATACCTTACTAGTATTTATTGAGTGCCTTCCACATGCCAGGGAATAAATGGGAACTTTAAAAAATAAACTCAGGTAACTTCTTGGAGTTTATAATGAGAGAGAGAGAGAGAGAAAGGGAGAAATACTAATCAACTAGTAACACCCTCATCCCCCCCACCAAAATAGTGTAGTGTCCAGAATTTATATATACACACATACATTGCATATATAATTAGAGAGTATTTAATTAGGGAGAATTCCTTCACTCTGAGAGGTTAGAGAAGGCATTCCTTAAAGAATGGAGTTCACATCTCAATATATATATAATGATGCTAACCTCTGTTAATTGAACAGGGTAGGAGACAGTCCAGGCAGAGGGCACAAGCTATTCAAAGGGAATCCATTTGGCAAGAGGGAGAATGGTTCCTCCAAGAAACCAGAAAGTTCATGAGGCTCAAGCACAGAGTAGAAATGTAGACAGGGACAAACACAGAGTAGAAATGTAGACAGGGACAGACCATGTAAGAATGTGGGTCTCTATTGTAAAAGCAATAGGAAGCTTTTGGAGGTGCTCTAAGCAGGGAGGTGAGATAATAACACTTGTGATTTGGAAAGAATATTCTGGTAGCAGTGAAACACAGATTAGAAGGGAACTAAATAAGTCTATTCAGAAGACCAGTTAGGAAGTCTCAGACATTTGCCTGTAAAGTGCGATAATGATAATATGAGGCCTTAAGTTTCAAGGATTTAGTAAGATACCATATTTTAAGTGTTTTATTCCAGTACCTGACACATAGTTAAGGTTCTGTCAATGTCTTTATTACTTTTATTGTTAACTCTCTTCAGAGAGCAGATCTTGCTGCTTCGTGCCTGCTCCTGGGAATGGGTTGGGGAAGAGTAAGAGGTAATAGTTCCTAGAGTTGGAAACATGGCTTATAAGTCACAACATGGAGGACAGAACTTAGGATGGCTTGAGACCCCGTTAGAATGACTTGTAAGTATGAAAGATTCGTGAAAGCCTAGTTCCAATGCTTGGGGAGCAGGCTGGAGAGACAGGTGAAAACACTCCCAAAGGGAAGTGCTGGTGTTGGAGGAGACAAACTTGCTTTTCTGCCAGATATTCCAAAGAGCTGATGTAGGGGTCACACTCAGGAGCACTAGAGCTATTTTTCAGCTCTTGGCCGAACTGAAAGCTTCCCTGGGAAGCTCAGGTCCCCCACCTGGGCAGTGGGCGTCAGGCCTGGGCATTGGGTGTCAGGAGGAGGGAGGGTCCAGGGAAGGCCACCTCCAGCCCGCCAACAGAGACAGTCCTCTCCCCAGTCACGTGACCTGGTGGGTGGGGACCTCCCTGAAGTTGAAGAAATCCTGAGCCATCCCAACTTGGGGAGTGTGCCGCGGGTCCTCTGAAGCACTGGCTGCAGGCGTGGGGGCTCCGAGAGTGGTGCGGTGCTGGGCATTTGCGAAATCCAGCAACAGGGCGGTCGGCATGACCCAGCTGTCAGTGATTCCCGGATCTGCCACGGCGTGGGCAGGTGAGTGGGACCCGCGGGCGATGGGGGCTGGGTTGGGAGAAGCTGCTCCTGTTTTGAGCCGCCACGCTCATCCCCGTCCTGGGAATGCGGGGTGCCCCCAACTAGGAGTGGGGCATTTGGGTAACGAGGGCGTTCCGAGTTAGTCCCTGTCGCATCGCCACTCTAGGCCAACAGTTTACTCCGCGGGTGGCCAGCGGACTGGCCGCGGACGCCACCGCAGTAGCCGCGCG